ATGTGAATATATTATAGTAAACTAAGTACGTAGTACTCTGAAATAAATTGGTATTTGATAGTTGAATTAAAAGTATAAGGTTAAACTATATTTTAATCTTCCATATTTTGAATAACTAGGTCAATTATTTTAATTAACTAGGTCTACTTATCAACAAAATGCTATACAATTTATTAATATTTGAAATTCCTTAAAAAAAATATATACATTTGTTGTCTATTGTTTTGGGTTACACTCTCTCTATGTAAAGTCTTTGTGTTGAGACAAATACGTAATGGTCTATATAGCCATGTCTAATAGTAAAATATAATAAAAACTCAAATTAAATTAAAAAATCACTTAATTATATAATCTCGAAAACATGATAGTAATAAAGCATTCATTTATACTTGAGATTGAGTATGTTATGTATAATAAGTCAAACTATAATCATACTTCATAACAACCATTGAATAGGCATCATTTAATTGATATAGAAAGTAGTAATTAATTCAATATCACTTGCAGGGCACGCTACTAATCAATTGACTAATCGTAGTAATTAATTGGACTCGACACAGTACACGCCCTGCAACTTTGATGAACTTCGATTGATTGAGCATAAGTTAGGTATACCTAATACTATTGGAACATTATTTGATTAATTTATTATATATTTCAATCTACTTCACAGGACGTTTACAAATAATCTGGTTAAGTAGATAGAGTACGACTGTATTAACATCATAATTAAGTAATTGAAATATGATTTAACATAAATTAGAAATTAATATTATCATACAAATTATTCCCAATCAAAACATGTGTTGGCCTTCCAGAGCGTAAAATCGTCCGATAAACGACCCACCCCAGATGACACAGTAGGCACATACATTTATCCTGTAGCTTAACAAGGGATGCCTACCATATCCTTTTAGAAATACGAGATTTTTAGTTTATGGTATGAGGACATTTTCAATATCGTACAAATTTGTACGAGATTATGAGTACGAGATCGCCGAAAATAGGTCACTATTATGTACGAGGTTAAAGAGCCAAATTAGACTAATTTACGAGATTTTATCAAACTTTTGTTTTGTAGGCGTCTACATGTTTTAAGGTTGACAACCCTGAGCTCGACGTGACCATGAGTACGACGTATCCCTTCATTTTGCGCGGGCAGCGTCAACGTCTGTACGTGTTTATTTTTCATTTCCGCTGGGCCCGGTCAGCCTGGGGCTCGCCTGAGCCTTACGGAGTCATCAATTGATAAGAGGCTAGCGACTGTGAGCCATAGGCGTAGGTACTGTTTGGACAACGTGGGCCCGCGCGGCAGGCTTGTGAAGTGTACGAATAGCACGGAACCAGTGAAGTCTCATTAATATATTTTAGTTCTTGGTGCTATACAATTTTACTTTAAGGACATAGGACTTAGCTTAGGACCCTTCTATTTTGTTGTCGAAGTAAAACCAAATTACAGTGTAGTTTAACGAAACCTTGTTGTATTTAAAAAAAAAAAGAACATAAATAAATGTATAGTAAAAAGTCAACTTAAGTTGCTTGAATTCCGATTAGGTCTACAGTACAGTGACTTACAGATCGACAGATTTGATTAATCATCATCATCTATCATTTTTAATCAAATCTAGCATACTAATTACATACAATTTTATATATTTTATTTAGTTCAGCTTTGTTAACTGTTGTGCGTTAACCGCTTTCTCTCTTGCAATTGTAACACTAACACGAGTGCAACGTGGCCGTTAAAGAGCTACGTATTTTTAGGATTACATCTATCTATTTTAATGAAGGTTAAACCTGTACCCGGTCAGAATAAAATGTTATATAATAATATAATAAAAAACAAAAATATTCAGACCTCATATTATTCCTCAATTGAAATTGGTTCAGCCCTTACTATTTCATACAACGGGAGAAAGGTCTCGACTCGATTTTATTTATGTGGGACGGTAGATATGGATCTAGCTGTTACCAGCGACGCTGACTGCTTATTTGTAAAAATGTTATTAATATTATAAACGCGAATTTTTGAGTATGGATGGATATTTGTTACTCTTTCTTTCAAAAATTACTGGACGGATTTTGATGAAACTTAGCAGTAATATACATCAGAATAACCTATAGGCTATAAATTTCACGCGGCCAAAACCGCGGGCACATCTGGTATATATATATATATATATATATATATATGTATCCGTCATGATCAATCTGTCTTCAGGTCCAATAAGACTTTACATATCGTTTTATAATATTAGTATTTATTTGAAATTTGCCTATCAAGTACCTTTAAAATATACTATATATCTTGTTTTGGTAATTTTCAACTACATATATTTTTATTATATTATTTTCTATATAAAATGGATATTAATACAATTAAAAACTATTTCCAATGAATATGTCAGTGTTGCCAATTCGATATTTTATTTTTATATCCCAAATACCATAATTTGAAATGTACAATTTATATTTATTCTCGCTTAACATTTAGGTAGGTACCTACATCATCATTCTAAATTGTAGTATCTATAGCAGAAAAAGAAAATTTAATTTGTAGGTTAGATTAATATTATTAATGATTATAAATAGTTTGTATAAAATATGCTTTTATATTCAAAATTGCAGAACAAGTGAACGCTGCAGTATATTTTGTAATAAAAATTGTTTCAAATCAACCAAACAAACCAATTTTAAATTGGTCGGATTATCTGCAACTTCATAGTAGTGTTTTATCGATAGAAATGATTTATGTTGCGGTCATTCGACCTTACTTGATCGCATTTTTTAAATTGAAATGATTTTATATTGCATCACAACTTCAACAGAAACAATTTCATATCGTGTTATATAATTAGCCCACTGGTATATATCTATGTATTCGTCATGAAATCTGTCTTCAGTGGGCTAATTATGTAACACGATATGAAATTGTTTCTAGTTGTGATTTATTTATTCGCTCAGTACATTAGATAGCTTATACCTTTAGAGGATCAATTTTTATTGCGGGGACATTTAATAAAAAAAATAAAGAAAGTCTATTCTATTCTAATGAAAAAACAAAACAGTTGGTTTTAACACATTCATTTTCACGACTTTCTACGTAATATTTAATATAATAAAAATATATGTAATACTTTCAAAATAAATGTCTGCTAATGCTGATATTTTAAAGATTGTAACCAAAAGTATTGATTTCTCATATAAAACCGAAAATTACCAAAACTTCTATTAGCATATTTTATACAAACTATTTATAATCATTAATAATACATCGTGCATCCATAAACGTTGTATTCCGTTCACAGAGCACCGTATTCATTGAAATATTTTTTTACTTATTTATACCTTCTATATACAGACATTCTATACACTAGTTCCTTCGCATAGCTTCAGTCGCACCATCTAATTACCATTTCAAGAATTTAGCACTTACCTACAAGTAATTTAGATGTAAGGAATGTTTATACAAAGTAGCGTTTGTATGTAGATTATTTGAATGATTATCAATTTTTCAAAGACATACGTATTCTTATATGTAATCAGAACGGCCTAGATAATCTAGCGGTTTAGCATACTGCCTTACCTACCTTCGATGGTCGCAGGCTGGATTCCACGCACTCATTCAAATACACTTGATATAAACATTTTGTATTCATGAGAAATACCAAATCTTTATACCGTCTTATACTGGTCTGGGTATTTCTATGTATATACAAAGATAAAATATTTAAGTATTGGTATCTATCAGTTGTACCTTATCACCAGCTCTGCTTCTAGGCCCAAGGCCTAGATGGTGTTGTGTAAATTATCCTGGCTTATTATTATTATTATTATAAATAACAAAATCGTCGTAAGTTTTATAGGTATATATAATAGGTATTTTCTCTTTTTTGTTTCTAACAATACATAATTCTACAACTTCCCCAAACAATTCTAATAATTTACGAAATACACGAAAATTTTTACTTCATTAATGCTGTTTATTATTAAGCATGCCAATTGTCTAAGTAGTTCTAATATTTTTCTTTTACACTACCCTATAAGAACACAGCAGAGTTCTTTTTTCCGAATCACATAGATACATACATCTACACGAAATCACGTCATCATTCGAAAACATCCCTAGAAAACGAGAAGAATGTTAAAACATGGAAACTAGCGTCATAGGTACTGGAAGACAATGTGCTGGTTCGTTTATCTCAATATCGTAGACGGACAAGCTGGTACGTGCTCCGACGATGTACGAGACTGAAATAAAATACGCGATTTCGCGACGCCCCTACGACAAGAGCAATTTAACTTACAATTGTGCTTCTAGTGTGTACACGATCAGATAAAATCTTAGCCAAAAGTTTTCGCATTTTTTAATGGCTAAGGAATGCACCATTTCTTTAGCCATTAAATCCCCAATCACAACGTTATAGCCTGACGAGGTACCAGTGCGAGATGTTAGCGGAGATAATTATAGTGTGAAAATGAAGTCTAACAAGTGAATCAGCCTATAGTGGCAATTTAATAAAAAAATTACGACCTTTATTTCCAATGGAATTGTACAGCGATGATTTCTATTTGACCATTATTGCGATTTTATTTGAATTTACTTTAATATTTATTTTTATTATTTCTATTTTAATTTTAGGTATGTGTAATTTGTGTCTATATGTACTATATAAGAAAATTGTAATACTAATAAAATGGGCAAGAAAGCCTGATAATAAATAAATTATTTTAATTATACCTATAGAATTAGCTGAACCACGCAACTTCCTCTGGGTCATATAATCATTTTTGCAGAATTTTTGCTCTAGTCCTATCGTAGCGTCATGTTATAAAGCTTAGACTTATTCTATAAATGGGCTACCCAACACTAACAGTATTTTCAAAGACTAATATCCAAAATTACAAAAACATATTTTTTGTATAAAATAGCTAGTGTTTGTATAAACTCCACACAATCCCACCGAAGTGCTGCGAATACAAAAAAAATAACAAGAAAGTTTTATAAAATTTGTAATCTTTATTAGAAACAACCTCACTTCACAATGCTGTTACAACGTTGGCAGGCCAAGTACGCTTTGGTTATGAAAACTATTTTCAAAAACTTGCTTACCTACTTACTTATTCACTTATCTATCGAAACTACACATATCACTTCAACAACCTTCAATAACAGATTAGAAAGTAATTTTAGTTCTATCAACGACAGAGAGTGAATACATTACAATCACAATTTGCAAAAAATATGAAAGTTACAAAAAATATAATTTATACAATAATTTACTTACTCTCTCGTTTATTATCACAGTCCAAAGCTTAAGTTGTGATAATTACAACAATAGATACAAATAGTGCTAAGTGAATAGAAAATAGACCCTTTTAACTAGTTTTTAGGCCTTTACAAGACCTGTTAATATTAAACAAGCATCTTATGATTATTAACAAAAGTTTGTTTTTTGTAAGTCGAGTTGTTGATAAGCCTCCTGGGATATAACAATCAAACAATCTTTACTATTGTATTTAAGAAAACGTTATGCTCTCAACTTTCATTCACGGTTCATACTTATTCATTATCCATAAATATAGTGCAAATGCTGATATGTTTTTTGTAAGTATTTAAAGATCTACTGCAAATATGATTTAGACATTAAATAATAGTTCAATACAACTGTTTCTATAAATGCTATGGAAATACTTGTTTCGAACTATACTGAATTAAATTCAATATTCAAGTATTCAGCGGAAAACAGGTTAGCAGATTTCCCATCTTGAACAAAAATCTGCCTTCTAGTGTATGATGAAAACAACTAGAAAACGATTACCTGAAGTACAAATACCTGAGTAATGGAATGCTCAGATATGATATTAAATAAAGTGTAAGTACAATTTAATAGTTGTAATATACAAAGTGCCTACCTAGTTCTTAACTGAATTTATTACTTGAACTGGTCAGTAGGGAAAATATAAATTCAAAATTTTACTTGCATAAATGATACGTACGTCGTACATAAATATATGATTTTTTACATTTAAATATAGTACTTGAATAAAAAAAATATAAATTTGCCTTATACGGCCCGGAATATTCTCAAAACAATATTATTTAAGTTATCTTGATCACAACAGTACAACAAAATTATATTTCTATTTAAGGAGATTTATCTACAATATAAAACAGCTAATATGTTAGGTTTTGAACATAAAATGACCATTAACAACACGTTCAAATACAAATCAAGGCCAAAAATCTATTAAAATATTCTGACCAAAACCTATTCTGTGATATTCCTTTTGTTCATAAAAATATACAAGTTTCATGCTTTTAAATTTGCACTGTGGTCGTTCTACCTACATATATTTACTAGTGTTTTATATTAAGAAAATATACCTATTTATTATTAGATATGTCATAAATACTGAAAATTATTTATAAAAAAAATAATATTCGAAGTCTAGGCAATACTAAAATATTTCATTGGCCGATTACAATAAGGGTAAGTACAAAATTATGTAAATATGTACCTATTAGTAATTTTAAAAAGCTATTATGTTCCTATTAAAAATAGTATAACAAAGTACTCACAATTATTTGCCAGATAGAGCCCGCCATCTTGTCTGTATTAATTAGTTTATCCTAAATACCTATTCTATATTAATGAATATTATTAAAGGCGTGATCAAGTAATTAATAAGCAATATAGTATCTATATAGTATGTTCTCATTAAAATTATGTAACATTTTTATTTTTCATTCGATCAAATTTATTGTAAGGAACTGTAAGAACATATAAAGCTTTATTCCTCTTACTTTACTTTGATTAATGTCACTCTATTAGAATACAGTGATAAGTAACGATATTTTTTTACTTTTAATAAATTATATTTGTTAATGTATATATGTATGTGAATTTATATACAATCTTTATTTAAGAATATACTATAATAGAAGCTTGAATAGGTAATAAACATTGCAACAATCTGTACAATAATATTAAGTAAACAATGATTTAGTAAAATGTATTACAAGTGTTAAGTACATTGAAGGCATATTTTATATCGTACCTTAGAAATAATGAATATCAGAAGTGATATTGACATTTTTGTCTGAAGTTTGTTAAAAAATCAAATCTGAAGTAAATCAAAAATATCTTAAATGTTTTCCTTTCTTCTTTCTTCTTTTATTTCCTTTCTTTAAGCTACTATGTAACCACTTTAATAAATTAAGTAACAAAATATTTTTATATTGTACATTATACACTTTTAGTCAAAATAGGTGGATTAACTCCTATGATATAGTTTAATATAGTTTAATTTCTGTTGAGAATAATTCGATGAAATTACTTCACAATTATATAGCCATTAGTTTTAGTTTTATATTTTAGATTTATTAAGTATTCCATTTTCATCTAAATTCTTAGTTGTAAAATATGAGAAGATTTAAGAAAAAAACATGGCACTATATCTTAACTATTATTTGCATTATTATTCAAGAAATATATATTATATTAGTTATAATAATTATGAACTCAATAGAATCTTTATTAACTAGATATATTCGTAAGGACATAAGTCATTACTGAAACTAATTTCCAATTCAACACAGTTTCCAATAGAAATGAGACGATTAACAATAAAAAATAAAAAAAATATTACAATCTTGACTGAAAATCTAAGTATTCTACACTAAAAACTTTATGATATTGTAACTAGCCATTTCGAGACGATAATTTGAGATACTAATATATGTATATATATATAGTACTATATATATAGACGATAATTTGATAACCTCGTTCGTGCAGATTCATTACAACTTTACTATTATATTTATGCATTGAATATAGAAAGTTATAGAACTATTTTCATTACGGCAGAATTGATACGAAAAAACATTAGTTTGCCTAAAAATACAAACTAACTTTTCCAATCATTACATTCCCAAATAATATTCGATGTGTTTAAAGCTCAATAAATATGTATATATAACGGTAATAAGATGTCCTTGCTTAACAATATGCTGTAATAATTAGGTGCAGTGTACGTAACTTAATTACCAATATTAATCACTACCAAAAATGTACCATTTCGAGTTGTAAATATATGTTCCATATCAAAACAAAAATATTATGTTTGTTTCTATTGTATTATACGTTCCTAATTTATATAGATAATAAAATTAATGGTTTAGGTTATGGAATAATTACAATATGGTAATAATTTAAGTAACATTGTGAGTATGTTCATAACATATTCAAGATATTTGTAGTGGTATTTACATATTTATGGAACAATATATGTATTTCACAAAAAAAAAAACTAGATTCACAGAGACTATATACATTATAACTATAAATTTAAAGGTTTAATTATATATTATTTATGTTTCTGGATATCTGGAGAAATTGTAATTGTAGTATTTTGAATCAACTAGTAATAGTGTTAGGATAACGAACGAACGTTCTACTATTCAGCAAACTAAACTAAATGAAACTAACAGGAATAAGAAATAGATATATGCCTATTAATATTCGAAATGTAATAAATAACACGTGGTAACACGTATTTTGATATTTTGTGGTTATTATATTATATAACAAAAATAATTTCACACGAGTTCCTTAAATTTTATCAATTCATAGATTTTCAATGTGTACACATGATAATCTCTGAAAATTACCTTTAATTTTTTTTATCTAATATTAAACAGGTACGTGTACTCAATTATACCAAGAACTGAGTTCAATAAATATGATAAGTGTATCAATGATAGCGGTATATACCTAACAGTTATATTAAGAAAATCAAAAGCAAATAAAAATATATAAAACATAAATGCAAATATTTAAATCATTATTCAACAATCACAAACGGGTATAAATACATATTGTCATAACATTTATACAAAGGAGATTTATAATATTGACTTATTACCGTTATTAGACCAATTAATCAACGTGTCTGTAGAGGCATCCTCAATATCTAATAGAAGATTGTCTTTATCAGCTCCAGATTCAGTAGCACTATTCAATACAATATCTTCATCTTTGGTCTGTAGGTTCACATACGACAGTGATTTCTTCTTCTGGCCTAAATCAAATATTTCCATATCTTCGTCTTCGTCTTCGTCCGACTCCATTGTCAAAGGCACCCTGGATAATTCTAAATTATGCTTTCTATCAACCGATTGTAGAACACCATATCGAAACTGGTTCGAATCATTCAAATTATTGCCGGCGTCGCCTTTTCCGATTTTCGTCCTGGAATTTTAAATCATATATTGTTTTGGGTCAAATAGTATTTTCTATACTTACATATGTAATTATTATAAATCTATAACTGATTAAAAAAAATAGTCTAAACTGTTTAGCATGTACTGTATAACTGTATAGATACCCCACGGTAGGGTAAATGATAAAATAGTTTGAAGTATATATAAACATTTTATAAAAATAAACTATTTTAAGTTAACTGTGACTGTGACTCTGAAATTTATTTTCTTATCAAAAGGTACATATTTAATTAACAATAGATGAGTCTACAACTGGATATATCGTCAGCATGTAATTATAACACTGAAATGTCTCAAAACACATCATGAAGCAATCGACATTAATCTGTTTCAATTGAGTATTGTTACGAATAGCGTTACGTAATAAAGCGATTGCACATATGACTTCGATATATGAAATATAACACGAATGTTCCTAGTTTACTAATGTTATCAAATTATTAAAATAGATCATAATCTGATGTTAAAAAATAAATAAATATACAGAACAGCTGCATTGATCTGAGAAAATCTTCACCAATAAGTCAATAATAAAGTACCCGGCCGAAGCCTAGTGGTCAAATCTTTTTTAAAAATGACAATGGAATGATTCATTTGCCTGCGCTAACGGTTTATGCTGGCGGGTGTGAGTGATAGGATGAGCATGAAGTCAGGTCAGTTAGCCTATCATGACCAAGAATTTATCACGATGGTTTCCAGGGGGAACCGCGTGGAGGTCAACCTGACATGGTACATAGCTAGCAATCACCTTTATCCCCTAGTAGTCTAATTGCTAGCAATGTACCAAGCTAGGTTGACCTCCCCGCGGCCAATCTTTGTGATTCGCATATCTTGTGAATTCGCAGTGATGAGCTACCGAAACATACTACATGCTCATCTTATCATTCCCTACTGGCGCCAGAGAATACAGATAGTACAAATGAAGTACTCAATTTCAGAACCATTTATTGCAAAAAATATCATTCAACAGAAATATATTTTTACACTCAAATGAATGGCACTCCCTAACGAATTCAATGTGAAGGAAACGTGATTGCTACACAAGGATATTTACATTAGCAATATAATCATGCGATAAAAATGTAAAATATTTATTTAGTGTCATGTAGGTACGCACAGTTTATATATAGTCAAAATAACGCGTCCACTCTATTGAATATTATTATACAATGTTACTTCTTATTACTCATGATACTAAAATAATATGATATTAACACCTGTTTTCTATTAGAAATATTATTATACTATTTGTATTTTTGTACTAAATTTTGATTATTTCTATTTATTAAATTACTTATTTAATAGATTTAAGTCTTGATGTTTAAGACATAGACACATAATATAAAATTGTTAATAGAAATAAAATTAATTTCAATCCTAATAGTTAACTGTTCTGCACATGAATTGTTGTGTTAGTGTTCTGACACACAAATATATAAACACCTATAGAGCTTTTGATAGGTTATAAGTTCAAATGTAACATTTTGTCTGTTCGTCCACCAGAGGTATAATAATGTTGGATATAATGTAACTCATATTTTGTAACTAACTCAAATTATATAAATTAAATAAAACTCTGTTTACTAGTTTTTACAGCCATAAATTTTTACTGGCCATGTCATATCAGCAATTTCAAATTGCAATATCAACAATAATAGAGCAGTGACAATAAAACACTATTTGCCATCTGGCCACTGATTCAGCATTTAAAATATTAAATGCGGCTTATGACCTGGGTAATCTAACTGTTTCGCACACCACTTTACTTCTGTAGGTAGCACAAATATTTGTATTCATGAGTATGATTGCTATCAGTCCTGTGTTTTCTATGTATAAAAAAATCAATATTATTGTTCTATAGCAGCCATAACAGAAGCTTTTAGCTTGGGATTAAATGGTGCTGTATGAATAGTCCTGAGATTTAGTTATTATTTATTAGGTTATTTTTTTATGTCCAAACTAGAGCCATTTTTAAAATAAGATGCTTAACATCTTATTTTAATACTTTAAGCAATGTAGGTTAATAATTTAAGTTTTATAATCGAATATAACAACACTTCTTAAAAGTATAGTTTTTAAATGAACTTACCTGTAAAATATAAAATAAGCTACTGCCAATAGAGCAAAACCACCAAAGACAATTAGACCTCTCTTCACCACTCCAGGACTGTTGAGATCTAATGGGGTTGATTTTAATTTTGTTGTTACATTCTTCTCTTCATGTTTCTCATTTACTATTACTGATGCTGCACCTGTTCCATTTGTAATTGTGACATTTTCTGGAACTAAATATTAAGCAAGTGTGAATAAGATTTCAGATTGTATAATGATTTTCATTAAAATGTCATATACTATAGAAATTATTGGAAACATAGAAAACCATCTAACAGAATAACTTAAAATTATTTTAGAAGAAAGTAAAGAGTAGAAACATTCATTTTTTTTATAAAAGACTATTTTCTGAAAAATTGTTCATATTCATAATACTATGAATTTGATTGTTAGTCATTATTTAAAACCCTAACACCTTATTTATATGTATAAATAAATTAGATACACATAACATTTATGTTGAAGATAAACTAAAGGCTATGTTCAATCTATACATATAAATAAAATTGAAGTGCCTGTTTGTAGTAGATGCATATGAATATATATTTATATTTACGGTACATACACCAAAATAACATTTTTAACAATTTTTGTTTGTCTGTCTGTCGGTTTGTTTGTTCTGGCTAATTTTCTGAAATGGCTGGACCGATTTTGACGGGACTTTTTTGCCAGGTAGCTAATGTCATAAGGAGTAACTAAGGCTATTTTTATTTTAGAAAAATAAAGTTAAATTCCACACGGAAGAAGTTGCGTATACGACTAGTAATAATATATATAAAAAATATTGAAGTAGGTACTTATTTAATAAAAATTAATAATAATATAATTTAATTATTTAATAAAAATAAGATATTGAAATACTTATTTAATAAAAGTGATGGGACAATTGATGTGGACGAAAAATATGTATTATTCGTCTCCTTCCTAAATGCTATGTGTTTACCAAATTGTATAACAATTAGTTTAATAAGTAAATAGTTTAGCCTAGATACCTAACACATAACAAATAATCACATATTCATATTTATATGGCAAAAAAGAAATCTTGGCAAAATAGTTTTTATCATTCCTAATTAATAAGTGTAATTCATACCTAATGTACTATTTTTTATTTCAGATTTCTAATTATGTATTGAGCCAAATACATAATTAATTTCCATACTTTTATAAATAATATTCTATGACTAATGCTATAATATTTCAACATTTTCCTTGTGTGTTACCCATTCACATTACACTATTATAGGTGTATATTTATACCATTTTCCTGTTAGTGTGTTCAAATTTGTGAGGAACATTATACTCCAAGAACTAGCACTTCTTTAAATTATTAATAACATTCAAAATGGTAACCTATATTTATATTAGGTAATTGAGGCTAATGTGAAAATCTAATTTATTAAAAAATAAACTAGTACTTAACTTTTATTGGATGTTTTGTGAAAAATTTGAAAATATTATTATGGAGAAATGCAATGGAGTAAGAAATGTTAATATAATCATCTTCCAAGCCTGTCCCTATTCATTTAACATTAGCATAATATGCTTTTCATAGTATTATACTTTTACAATCAGCCTATAAACCCACTTCAGGAATGCATTTGTTGATTATTAAACCATTACCTCCCATAAGTATAGTAATATAAATTATAACTATGGGTGTTTAGTTAGAGCAAATTTTAATACAGATTTTTTTAATATGAAAGCGAACTGTCTGGTTATTACCTTTTCAGTATGAAATGGTTTGATATGCACAGTCATAGACAATCCTTAATAAAAAACAGAAATTCCAGGTAATCTATAGAAGCCCCTTATTTTATCAGTAACATAAAGGGTTATGAATATAGCTCCTTTTTTATAGCTTATTTAATCAATCACAGCTGCACAAACCTCTATAATAATTAATGAAACTTTACCTTTTGGCACCTCAATTTTTTTTTCATCTGTAATCTGATCCTTCTTTTCAACAGGTTCCGTTGACGGCAATGCAGATGGTTTTTTAACAACCTGACCTTCAGATATAACCTGATCCTGTACATCCCTCTTGTGCACCTTAATCATCTTTGCAGCATTATGAATTGATGGCCAATAAGAATAGGAGATGCTCCTTTCAAAATCACTATTAGATGCCACTACATTTCTATGGATATTGCGAGTCGGTCTTACACAATTCAGAAATAACAATATTAGGGCACATCGGATAATCATAATTATTATTATAGATCCTTATTTTCTTCAAGCACAATAATTATTGACTTTTTTTAATGCTATTTAAGTATACGAGTAACTAAACTAAATAAGAATACTATAAACCGAGGAATTATTATTATTTACTAAATTATTATTCACCCGATGACAATAACTACAGAAGTCTAATTGACTGTCATTAATGTAATTGACTGACTGAATGATTAAAGACTGACTGTATACAAATCACAGACTGGTACTATTATAGTTAAAAACCCAAATAACGTTTCATAACGTAACATAACGTTTACTGGTTATTTTCGGTACACCTTGTGAGTGCCTATATTTTCGGTCCCTTTTTTTTAGAACTGCCGAGTATAACTCCTCATCCATTTTGATTTGGCCTTTTTTGCAGAGCATACGTATAATTTTCTATCTGTTTTGATTTTCATTTTTTCGGGTCGATATTCTAACTGTAGTGTTTTTTTCGAAATAACTAATAATTTTAATGTATGTTGATGTACATACTTCGTTATACTTATAGGTGCCGTACTATAGTGACTTTCTACTCGATACCAATTCGAACATACCATACGGAACGTACGTACCGTTTATAAGCAGTACGTACCGTTTACAGTCGGAATCTAACACACTACACTAATCTAGCACACACGTCACCAAAGTAATGAATGACATCAACAAACGATAGAATGACGGTGGAAATATGAAGACATGGCTGTATGGGCGCAATTCCCTTTGCCTTTCCTATAAAGGATAAACAGAGCCAAAAAAAAACGGACATAGAATAGAAGCGAATGACGGTGATGTAGAGTTGCCAACTAAAATAGGGGTAATGAAAAGTCGGCCATACCTAATAGTTTCAAAGAATCATCGTATACTGCTATTGATGCTTTTTAATTATCTATATACTTTGTAGGTCTACCGTACGATAAGTTAAATGGTCTACACTACAGTAAAATAAGGTGAAATATTGGAACAGTGGTGTGTGAAACCTGTAATGTTGAGTTTTCATTAGGCATTTAAATGAAACCAACAATCACATATAATGTATTATCTGATTTATTCAAATAGACATTTACATATATTATTAATATATTTTAAAGTAGAATTTCCAAATTTTAATTTTTGGTATCCCTATATAACACTGATTGAGTATCCACAGTATGATAATAATGTTATACCTACGTTACAAACTTCGGTACATTTTGTTCCAAACATTTAAGGTACACAGTAAATATCACCTACAAAATTGAACAAGTTAGAAATAGTATAGTTTTATCAAAGGACTTACTAATAATAATTTATGTTGTTAAAAACTTCGGCAGTGATAAAACAAGCCAAACACGCAGATTGTAACTATTTCACAATAAACATTCATGTACATTAGCAATAGAGTTCCAAAAAATCAACGCGATTGGACTCCTGAATGTTACTTATACTCACTCGGCATTAGTCATAAATTACCATTTTAAAAATAATGACAACGCACACTTTAGTCATTTCTTTAGTTAGAGTTAGAATCAGAGCCCCCAATGGACAAAAGTACATCTGACAGTAGTTTACTTAAAACATTCTGAAATGTCACTATCATTACCTAAAAGAAGAGATAATATCTACTTCCAAATCAGTGTCGTTTAAAGTTTTAACTCTATTTCGAATATTAGAGTTTAGTTTTGCTCAGAGATAGTTCTATACAGTGACATTTCAGACAACATCCATAACATCATAGCTATAATGTGCGTAGTCATTTATTATTCAAATATAAACCAGTCAAAACTACCTACACTCACTCGAAATCTTACAATGTAGGTACCTAAGCACACATTTCTCTCAGACCCCTAGAGCAATAAGTTACAGAGTTATCTTAAACATTTAATTTATAAAATTAATAAATATATTATAAATAATTGAGTATGAGCTATTTTATACAAAATCCATAACATCGAAATGATATCACGTGTCGTAACGCGACGATACGTAACGACACTTTAAATATGTGTGTAAAATTAGTCAGCTTATAAAAATAGATTGCACATAAAGACGATTAAGAAAATACTTGCAGAGAAGATATTAATGCAATGGTTCCTTAATTTATACAAGATTCAAACGAAACTCGTAGCGCCATCGCAGTTTGTACATCACGTAATATTAATGAAAACAATTTAGTAGTAAAAGCTGTTGATTCATTGGAAATCCAATAAAAAATATACAAATGTATAAAAAACTAATTAACTATGTTATCTGAATTCGCTAATGTCAGCGATAAAAAGGAGAGCATTGAGATTGATTGATATATTTTTTTAATAATTCGTGGCCCCTTGCAATAAACTTAATACCCAAAATGATCCATCTGTATCAAGCATTTTACTGCAGCTCAAGCAGTACGTTATCTACTCTTGTATTTCTCTAAAGTTAAGTACATATAAGTATATGTAATTTTAATTTTCGACGCTTTAACTACAATCTTACTTTTATCGTATTTTAACTTGCAATAATAATATCTCTACTTGCTTATATCGAATTTACGTTGGCTAATAAATTATCTGAAACTTTAAATATATTAATTTAATTTATTTTACTTTCAAAAATATGCAGTGATTTCTAAACAGGATCGTAAACTAATACATATTTCCTGAAAATAGACATTCAAGACATTTGCACCTTTACTCTAGAAACAAAATCTGGTACATCAGATTCAATTGATACATTAAATTTATTCCCCTTTAGACCAAGAAATATAAAATATTGTCGAATTTCAATCAAGCCTTAACCCTAAAACCATGGCACACAAATTATTTCTAACAAAGGAGGGAACTTTTCACAACTGGGGATTTTTCTTCTATTATCATGTTTCGTTTATACGGTATTCCTCATGTACTTTTCTCGTTAGAATATTATAAAATTCAAAAAGTTCGAAAGCCAAATACTGAGCAATTCTATTTACGTATCTATTTAAAGGAAATAAACAATAAAAATGTGTTTGGTCACGTTAAAGTCTCCACAGTCAGTCTTCCAAGAAACATAGAGTTTATTTACGATACTGTAAAAATATGGAATGTGAACAAAAAATTATGTATTATAGATATCATAAAAAGTACGTAACGATGCAATTTTTAACGTTTATCCGGGTGCGTCTCAAGTCAACTACAAGTAGGTAAGTCATTCCGGGATAGCAATTATATATTTTATATATCCAAATTAGAAAGTTACTGCCCTAAATTCGTGACACCGTACACTATACTATAGTATAACACTTTATCATTAGTTGATGATTCCGAAACTAGCAACAAATTTTATTTTCTCTAACTACAAAATTGCTGTCCCGGATAAGGACGAAATCGGTAGCGTTCTCCGTAATCCTGACTAGGAGTTAGTCAAGGTGATGATTGGATTATGGACTCCAATATTCCCTGTTTTGCGAGAGTGCTCACTCCAGACGCGCTTTGTAGCTTGTCTTCCATATCTCAGCAAGAGTCACGGCCGAGTGGAAGCGATGGAATATGCAAAGTGGTAGAGTGAACCGTTGAACAAGTGACCAAGCGACGAATCCGTAGAAATCCAGTTGCACCTGTAAGATTAAATATATTACGTTAAAGTTCAAATTATTAAGAAAGTTTAATATTAATCGTATAAGATTAATATTAAACTTTACTTTTTATTTTTTGCACTACATTACCTCTATCCGAAAATACGCTCAGTTCATTAGATATTAGGAAAATGTAGTCATCTATACTAAGTATCTTACAGTATCGTTGATACTTCAAAAACCATCAACCAACAAATTAGAAACAAAATATCAACACAAATAAATACTAACTGGGCTAGCAAGAACTTTCTGAGCTTCAAAGGTATAAATGAGCCACATGGTAACATTGCAGATGAGAAGGAAGGTGACAGCCTGGCGGGCAGGCTTGCTGCGCTCTTGTTCAGGCAAGTGGACACGACGGCGGGATACATCAGCGATGAACAGTAGTTGAAGTACCACCTTAAATAAATGTAACTATTATTAGAACATACATATTTTAAAAATTGATATTTTATTAACATTACGTATAATTTGGGTAACAAGTGGAATAGAATTCATATTTAATCAGTGGGACTCATTGTAAAAGAATATATACTTGGATAAATGTTTCAAATGCTGTCGTCAAATAATTGCTGTTTTCGTTTGAAAAATGTAATTGTTAGTTGATAGTGTAAACATCTACGTCTAGAATATTATATATTGCTGAATAGGAAGAATTATGGGTTACAATGGATTTTAAAATAATTATACAAACCTGGAGCACACTTAAACATCCAGTGATCATGACCAGCAAATTCGATTCCTTGACGAAAGCACCCATTGCGCCGGCGATTACGCTAAACACAGCGTAGATGAACAATCCAAATGCAGACACGCGGAGCAGAATGTCGTTCAAGTCGGACTGTTCTTCAGAGCGGAACTTCAAAGATTGTACCCTGCGGAGAGGCTCGGTATAGGATGGGGGACTTGAGCTCCATTGCATTACTCGACCACTGATTGCATGATAAGAATGAACCAAAAATGGTAAAATAAAAAAAATAAAAATATTGGGTTGTGAATTAAGAATGATTATTATAAAGATATTGTTTGGAGTGTAAAAGAAAAAAATATCACAGATTGTGAACAGAATTAGGGACGAGGGATACAAATATGTAATGGGTCGGGGAAGGATAAGAAAAGAAAAAAAACAAGAAATAAAAATTAAAACCAAATTAAAACAAAACACAAAAATTAATATTCTACAACAAAATAATATTTATGCTAATTTATGGTTAAAATATAAACTTTCATATTATTTTTATACATTATAGTTATCAAAACTGGAAGCCTTACCGTATAAATCCAATCAGGATTGCCAAAATTGAGAGAACCATCAATGCACAATGAGATACGTCAGCCAAATATATAGACAGGCGCTTCAACTCTTGATGTCTTATGAGGACGAAGAAGAGGATCAGGCAAATGAGAGACGCGACGAGAAGAAGCAGTCCACAGAAGAGCCCTTTGGATGCTCCTGCGCAGTCGACACGGTTGCCGCGCTGAGCTGCCGCGAGTGCTGCTGCCCTGCGGGAGAGAACAGCCTCCAGACGTCTTTCCAGATCTTCATCGTTGGCCACGCTGCAACCAAACGCGCGTTGGCGTCAGTCACGTGAGTACGTGACAATTCTTCTAATTTTATAATGCTACCCATGCACTAAATTTGTAGCTACGTCTATTAAGTTACGCGTGTAAGTTACATATTTTATTAAGTCAATAATAAAGAAATAACTTAATATAGCGGAATTGTAAATATTAAATGTTAAAAAAAATATATTTAATAACACTCATAATTCGTTATTGTTAACTGTAATGGTAAAATGGCACAACGAGGGATATTTTAGAATTTTCTAATTATTCATGAATGATTTTGTCCATGAATTTTTTGTCCACATAAGCAAATTTAAAGTTAAAAGTACGAGTTTGTAAATTAAAATTAAATATTTACATTTACTATCTCCCTTATTTTATATAGCTAAAGCCAGCTTATATTCACCTAGGATAGCGGCCAATATGTTTCCACATGACATAGATGACAGCAGCGCCGATAAGAGAGTACTCGATAATGAAAGGGTACAGGTAAGGCGCCGAGTCAGAAACGATAGTGCCCATAATTGGATTTCTTCCACATACGGTTGTGTTATCGATACTTCCAATCAAAGCTGCCGGGTTCAGATTATCAAAGGACTCGAAGATTTCCGAAGAGTTTGTTACTGAAAAGAAATATTTAACATTGACTTTTTCTCATAGTAGACTGAAAAAGTATAACTACGTTAAAATAAACATGGTTCTATTTACCTAAACATAAACATGCAGGGAAAAATGTGTGAAATTAAACAGATTTAGATGATATTTGAGTACATTGTTCAACTATATTTTCTAAGACAACACAAAAGTATACTGAAGACAATCTGCAAAATAAAAGTGCAACGGCGAAAAAATGAAACGTGAAGATTCAAAACGACACTCCGACAAACCTGGCAAATGTGGTGGTTCGTCTACGCGATACGTTTCGACACTATTCCCCCATTCATCTTTATCGGTAATGTACGATCCGGAAGTCGAAGTTGGCACCAGAGTTGACATAGTGCTTACAATCGGTTTAAAAGTTGAAGATAACCACTGGAATACTTCCAACATGGCTGTCTGAGTTTGAGTCACTTTTTCGGCCTCCGTGGTTAATGGTGCTATAGTGGAGGTAGTAGTGAAAGGATTATCATTGGGCCACGCAGCTTTGGACTCGCGACCGAATCCCATCCCATTATCATACCCTACAGTGCTCTTTAAAGTATCGATCAGTTTTGATTTAGGAATGAACCCGCCACCCATATTAAAGTATGGTGAAGGAGTGGTCGCTGAAAAATTAGTCGAAAATATTTAAATATTAACACATACATGCATATTGGAAAGAGTGTATACTTTCCAAAGGGACACCGTGTTAGTAATAGCATATATCAATGAATTAATTGCAAGTTATGACTTACTAGTTGTTGAAGTGGTTGTAGGGGCAGCAGTAGAGGTTGTGACTACGTTTAATATTTGTTCGACAGTTGTCTTTGCAGTAGTACTAACAGTCGAAGCAACAGTAGTTGCAGCAGTAGTTGCAGCACCAAATACTTTTCCGGAATGCCTCAATGTATGTTTTCGTATAACTTCTGAAGAAATTAAATAATAGCTTACAAAAAAATCTATAAACATTTTTCTTCTAATTCAAATTATAATAAACCCCATTGACAACTAACATAACTTATTAGTATGAAATGAACTCTGTATTTTTTAATTAACCGATTATGATTATTGAGGAGGGACATGGACTATGATTTTAGTTTATCAACCTAAGATGATGTGGAGTGAAATTTTCTTTAGGAACAAATCGGGATAACATGCTTATAGAAACCTGATTATTAACATTCACGTTTTCATGACAGTGCACTAAGGTACTAATACTATAATAAAAATTACTAATTTAGAAAACTAGTAATAATATATCTTTTTTTAAATTAACTAGTATATCAATCTTTTTAAATAAACTATAAAGAAGATTATTATTGTAATCATATATGTTGTCGTGATACTACATGATTCCTTTGTAATTGGCAACAATAAAAAAAATGGAACTGGGCACTTCTTTAATTCCTTGAGAAAAAATAAATAAATAGCATAGCATTTATTCTTACTTCCAAGTACGCCTTCTCCAGAAACTCCAAGTGGATTTTTCACATGATAGTCCGTAATTTCCTTCAAAGATTCGAGTACTAATGTTCGAATCCACACGCAGATATTAGTAGCGACTACATGCATCAAACCAAAACGAGCGATCACTTTGAAACGATGGATATTTAGCTGTAAAACGTTAATATAAATATAAATATAGAGTTGCATAATTTTAATGAAACATAGAACAACTCCAATAGAAGTAACTTACTCGTGAATTCATGAAAATGAAGTACATCTGCATAAATGTAAAGACCATCTGAAGAACAGGATTGATACCCTTCAAGATTAGGTAACATGGTGACTCTAGTGGCAATTCAAAGAACGTTCCAAACTCTAAGCCATTATAGATCATCGTACCAAGTCCGAATGCTGCAAAAAGTATTATGTTATGTACATATTTTTAAACTATAAAGCATTTTATTAACAATATTTTATTATTAATATGATAAAATTTTAGTTGATCAGTTTACTTACCAATGGCACCAATTCTAAGGAAGAAACTTCCATGGCTATGATCGTTTTGAGATGTTTTACGCCGACGTACTGGCCTTGCAACAGGCCCAGCCTCCAGTTCGACAATATCTTGTTGCTATAAAAAGGTAAAAAAAAACAATTGACAATTTTGTTTTTTTTTGTTCTGGTACATAAACATCTATGAGATCGAATAAAATACACAATTTTATTTTGAAAACAATTAATTACTAAAATGGGTACGTTTAAGTTTCCTACTAAATATACTATGATTAAATGCAGTATAGATTACATTATACTAGTAATAAATAATCATTGTAATCAAATGATTTGACCAATATATTCATTCTTAAATTTATTCCTTTGCTAATTAGTTACCTATTAGTACGCCTCGTATAGTTTTAAAATTGTAACTTATAAATTTAATCAACCGCTTATCAACAATATTTGATTCACAATCTAGTAATATTTTCCCTTATTCACTGTCGTCGCATAGACATTGATTTATATATGTATAAAACTATCAAATTAATAGTACTGAAAATTCTATCATGAATGCGAAATTAGTACATAACGAATAAATGGATGATGTGTTTATTGTTAATTATTCAAAAATATCTTTGTGACGCCACTGCATACTAGATCAAGCTGTAAATGATATTTTTGATAGAAATTAAATAATATCTTGTGTAAAGTCTACGCATTTCTATGTTATTAGACAAAACTTTAAGACAAAACTGTTTTGAGGCACATTGGCATTCATTAAATATTAATATATATAAATAATGAGCATAAACATGGGAGTGGATATATACAGAAAGGTCATTATGTAAGATAAAATTGGTAAGAATTAGGTATGTATGTGCAAACCCTCACACGAGCCTATATTGGAAAAGCAAGTACAGATAGCAGACAACAACAAAAGCACTATTGCGAATAAATGTACTACATCAGCACATCCAAAGCTCCTCGAAATGATAATATGATACACAAGTGGTCAAGCGTGATGCCTCAATGTACCTCACCTGTTCGGACGCATACAATTGCGCCATTTGAATTTGCAATTGTTGTTGACGAACTTTATCGCGCATCTTACGCGGGTACACCTCCTGTCCAAATGATATGGAAAAAACAAAAAAGTAGGCAGCGTAAACAAAAAGGGTTCATGCGGCTTGTTACGTCTTGACGAAGCTTTGATGTAACGATAGTTTATTCCGTGAATGGCTAATTAACAAAACTTGCGAGAATGTGCGTAAAATCAAATAATTGAAAAAATCATATATGTAAAATATAATGAAATTAATAATAAAACATGTATGTGGTTATCTAACACAGGACGGCACGCTTAAGCGACAAGAATGTGTAATAATGTTAAATACATATTGATGATGTGCTGCGTAATATTTTATTACGTCGCTTACCTGAAACTGACTTTGTTTCTTAGACTCTTTGGTTGGTTTTTCTTTACCAGCATCCTTTTCCTTATCCTTGTCTTTAGATTTCCCATCCTTTTTCCCGTCTTTCTTGCCATCTTTAGTTTCTTTTCCATCTTTCCCTTCTTTTACTTCTTTATCTTTGGTTTTCTTCTCCTTTTCCTTCTTAGGCTTCTTCTCTTTCGGTGGAGGCTTCGGTTTCGGAGGGCTTCCACTGCAGCATGCACTCTCTAAAGAAATATTTATATATATTAACATGAAATTTAAAACTACATCAGTATATTTGTAATATATTAAAAAGTTTATAATTAAAATGTGTGAATTTTATACTGACCTTGAAGTAAGAAGCAAAAGACGTATAATAAAAACAATATGCTCATGCCATATAGGTAGGTGAAGAAGCCCTCGTAGTAGTATAGAGGTAAATTGTGGGTGATGACGTCACTTATGACGTAAGCAATGCATACCACTACTAAAAGCTTCGCGTAGATGAAGCTTGATATGATGAACAGCGAAGTTCTGAAAAATAAAACAATAAAATTATAGTACAATTTATTGAACGATGAGTTGTCATTCGCTATATGCAAATGAATACAAGAATAGACATAAAAGGCAATTTGCGGCATTGATGTTATAAGTGACCTATCGTCTAACTTTATTTAAAATGCTACCCCTTAAACATTTGTTTACTACACATGTTTTATAATGAACTTACGGACTATCTGGAAATGCGACCATTTCTCGTACGCATCTAAATTAGAGCTCGTTCTTAGACTCCAGTAAAGCAATCATATTCATCAATAAGTAAACTTGCAGTCACTCAGAATTGCTTAATTACTAGGAATGCGATTTATAGTTAGTCATTTTCAAGACGATATTTCATTTGAACATCCTATTCGAAAGACATAGAACTGGAGACCTAAATTATAATTGGTATGATTTTTTCTGTAGATATTATCTAAAATCAAACTAATAGCATAAATTCATAAGTCTGGAAGTATGTATAGTAGAACCTCTCTCGTTTCAGCGCGCGCATATAGACATGCAAATACAGCTACTGGCGCGCTTGTAAAATGAAATTACCACATTAGCTTCCGAATAGTCCCATTATAAAATTTATATAATATTTGTCCTTCTTATTAAGTGAACAGTTTGTGACTTGTGACAATACTTTTGAATATGACCGGTAACTATACAATGGTTACTCTGTAAAAATTAATTTGTTACTATAATGTAAGTACATATTATAATATAAATAGTTATTGATTTACATTCTTAAATAAATCTTAAATAAAATACATTCTTATTCTTAGAAACACTAAATATGTTACTGTTGAACCTTTTGTGGTCTCTTTCAAGTCATTTCTTTAATTGTAAAGAAATAGTAAGTAGATACATATTTATCTCCTTATTTCACATATATCCTGTACATGGTAGGATATACATATGGTACAACCTTTATCTTCACACACATTATCTGCTTAAACCAATTTCATTATTCATCGAATACTCGTAAAGTCATATAAGTTCCGGAGAGTCTTAATTTCACCACAATATGGGTCTATAATATCCGCAGTTTAACTTTCTGCTGTTAGTTTCCTATGGTTTTAATTCCGCAGTACATTGTAAGCATTTTTTTCCTACAGTGACCTATATTAATCGATAGGTAAGTATAGTTTAGTAGTATCATTATAGGGACACAAATAGGTAATATTAGGGTATGGTATTATTCGTATTGGGTTTTAGTAGCCTCATTATCAATTATGTACTATGTCAGTTCGACATCAAGCGGTCCGCGGTGGAAACCATCATAGTTAACTCTAGTGATGTCGCAACAATGGAATTAACTGACCCGACTTCATGCTCATTTTATCATCCTCCACTGCTGTCCCGCCAGCGTATACTGTAAGCGCAGCGGGTCCACATACCATTATTACCCATTAAAAAAATGTAACAATGACAAACGAGAAAATATAAGATTATTAATCTAAACATTATTCTAATATCAAATTGATACTATTTTAAATGAATTGGCTTAATATTCTAATCATACTTTTTGGATGGCTTGGGTTGTACACATTTCAGCTCCATTTCTTTGTTCGCGGTATTATGCTTTTCAGCGATTGCAATGTCGCTACCCTGTTGACGGTGTTGCCCCACTGGCAGGGTCGCCATGTTGTCCACTGCTTCCAGGTCTACCGTGGCCACCTTCACTTCAGCCTCAGTGGGCTGGTGCTTGTCCTTCCCCATCACTATCACTTCACGTTACACGCGAGGGACAACGAAATCTACACAACCATAGTGAGTGCTTCAGGGTTAAGGACAAAGGTGAGGGTAGGGCAACGGATTACAAGGAGCTCTTTCAAGGCAAAAGCTCCGGAAGTATGGAGGTGCGGCACTAGATCGTGCCTCCGGCTTGAGTGCGCCGAGAGTTGCGCAGTAATGGATGCTGCGCGACTTAGTACTCCCGAAATAGGGGCGGCACCGACCCTCCCGAGTGCACCCTATTTTGTTTTAATTGCACTCATAATAGCAAGAGGGTCGTAATTTTTGTACGGGCACCATTCATCGGGAGGACGAAGGGTGGAACAGGTTTTGACCGTCACTGTTGTCAATATGAAATGTTAAATAAAAACATTTTGGTAAATCTTTTCGGTAAACATTCTGTATAATAACTACATATTTGTCTTCTGATATCCGAAATGTATTTTCAATAACTTAATAACAATTACACCGATGTTATGCACAAATGCCAGTAATAAAGTTATTTGTAAAAGATTATAGTATTTTGACAACCCTATACCAATTGGCGACAAGCGGTCGATAGAGGCGCGTCTTTCCCGGAGAGCTTTTGGGAGGCTGCGCGAGCGACCCACTGACCCGGCCCCAACACCCCGGCCTCACCCAACTCAAATATATGGCAATCGCGGATATAAAGGTATATACGCACCCCGGTCCCAACCATAATAATGCACATGCATATGCCCGAAAGAAAGAAAGACAAAGAAAACCCTGTATGGCGTAATCTTCTAATAAATATATCCTATAGCATGTGACATGTGTTGCGCATGCCCGGCTTCCTTAAAGATGGCAGTCCGTCTTAGCACTAAGGGCGATGAACTCTTAGATAGTAATTATTTTACTTACTATTAATTTAAATATACAGTAGTTCTAGCCCACAGGGAATTAATTATGCATACAAAATTATTAATATTTAAACTGTTCAGGGAACTGTTCTGAGTATGAAGAAAATATTTTATTATATTTTCTGAATTAATAATGTAGAAGATATTCTAAAATTGAAGAAAGCAGAAAGTAAAACTATATTACACAGATATACACTCTATGTATACGAGTATGAATTATAATGACATTATTTGGTAATGAAAAACAGCTTATATAATTAATGAAGTTGTGTGTATCAATTAGTATGTAAATAGTGATTAATTGGTATGAGCATGAACAATACATTTTCTATATACATTTAATATTAATTTTAGTTTCTTTCACTTAATAACTTATACGAACACTTTTTAATATTATATATAGAGTTGCTAAAATTAAAATCTCATAAATCTGACTGAACTAACATTCCCTGATATATTGCGAGACTTTTATTACATGACCTCGTTTAATGTTTATTGTTTTTAATGTTTCATGATTTATTGATTATATTTAGCAGCCATCAGTTCGATGCCAGTAGTATATATATATATATATAGTTTCGATATGAATTCGTCATATATTAATAGATTTTTAAATCGTGTAGTGATAATTAAGTAAAAATTGTAAGAAGACATAGACTTGAAATGAAGACTTTCATAGAGTTTTGATAGAATACTGTGAACATTAATATTGTAATTGTTTTCGTAATACAATTTCAACAGTTCATTTTGCTACTTGATGGATTTCTATTATTTCGAACTAATTTCCAATCAATACAATTAGCATGTGTGGACCACAAATATTCTATGCCCATATTGCAATTAAAATTGCATATGATATTATAATATTACTGAGTCTAAACCCATATTGCAATTTTAATTGTATTAGAATAACGGACGGAATTTGATCGCCATTAGAGAAGGTCTTAACGGTAGTCAAATTTCCACACCGAATGTTTGTGGTCTCACACATGCTAATTGTAGCCAAATTTAACAAAATAATAGAAATCCATCAAGTAATGAAATGGACTTCCGCAAAATAACACCTAATTCGATTAAATATAGTTAGTTCATTATTAATTTACCAATATGAATAAGTAGGGCGGTGAGATCTGTGCTCACGAACGACCATGTCTCACCTGCTTAGGATCTTCAACTTTCATAATTCCATCAAAAAAATTTTTTCCTCATATAGATTATCTTATTGTTATTGATATTATTATTATCTTCTATATAACGTTGAATGTTAAATTTTATATAGTTGTAAGTTCACACAAGATAATTTTTGATGTTGGTGTACAACATCAAAAACTATCTTTTACATTCTAACATTACTGTTTTATATGATAAAGATGATCATCTTTGTAGATGTGAATAAAGTACAACTAATGATGGATGAATTGTAACCACATAGATACCAAGTAGGTATTACTTAGTCATCCTTAAATTCATTATTATCTCCCTGAGGTATAAGTGTGCCACTTAACTGTACGCAAATAATTGATGTGACAATATAATTAGTAGTCGCATGTTACACTAGCAACGTTAAAATCGTCACACATATTCTAAGCCGAGCTATTGCATAACATTATCCATATTTATCACAGTACTAAACACATTTGCAATATCGACCGACCGAGTTTTTGCACTTTGTTCTAATAACACTACTAATGTACATAATTTATGTTAGATACATGTAATGTATCTAACATAAAACTATTACAAATTATTATATTATTAATTCGTCGACTTCAAAACCATTACAATCAGTCTAAAAAACAAAGTCTTTTATCTATTTTAATGCTGTTGGCTATAGTTGTCCTTTAGAACTTTAATGAATGAAAATGGGAACTACATAGTGCCCTCCAAACTCACGGAATGACTTATGGGCTGAAGGCTAACTCCTGCGTGATGAAAATGACTTTTGCCTGAGGACATCACTGGGAATTCAAAGCTCGACTCAAGCTCATGGTTATTGCGATTCCCATTGGAATATATGCTAACTTTATATGAAAAGTGGTGATGAAAAAAGTTTTTTCACATCGAGCGGGATATTATTGAAAAGCGAGTTATAAATCCCTGAATTACATTTCAAACCCTTTTCGTTATATATAGGTAAATTAAATTTTAAATCTTAGATATATATTTTCTTCTTTAGTCGTACACTTTTGACAGAGTTATCGTGGTTTTCATGATGGTATATCTTCGTTGTCCTCCTTGATGACAGAACTCCTCGCAATTTGCCTCCATCTGGTACGGATTTTAACTATACATTACATTGTATAATAGTCTGTGGTGTACCTGTTTTTATAAGGTCAGTCCATGGCATTGGTGATCGTCTCCCAGAACGTTTGCCCTTAACTGAACCTTCGATAATTAGCATAGATATTAAAGTATAAATTACCTGGTGAATATATATTTTTATAAGCAACAACTATGTAGTAAAACATGAATAGCAAGTTATTATCCAAGTATTAATATAATATTGTCTAGCCTGATGTTTTGTAATGTTCTAAAGAGTCTTAGAGTGAGAATAATCAGTTTGTGTTTATTTAATTTGGAAATAAATAAATTATTATTATATATTTCTGTAAACGCTATACGTAAAATTTATGATTATATTAAGAAAGAATAATGAAGAATTCTATTTATCAGGCCATAGACACCTACGTGTAATAAAAAAATATTTCATAAAGGATATCACGTAGGTGTCAAAAACTTACGCTACCATAACTTTAATCCATTGACTTATTTAGGAAGGTCTAGCCTTAAACAGACAGCAACAGCAATAGTATGACGTCAATATTCAAGGAGGAACATAATTAAAAGGAAGGACAATGAAACTATTAGTTACTAGCCCACATAACCATTCTCAGAGTGGTAGTAGTACTAGCAAAATTAAATAGCAATATTCTGAATTAGACATAAAAATATGCTAAGAGGGCGAACAGAACGGAACAGTTACTAGGACATGTAGCCAGAAAGCCAGCATCGTTTTGTAAGAAAAAAGATGATATAGTTAAAGTGGCACTGTATCATTAACTTACGAAATTTTATTTCGAGCTAAGCTATTATTGTACTTTGATTATAGAAGGAAGGTACTAACAAGGAATAACCATGTTAGTTCGATATTCCCGGGTGCCCCATGGAAAACATATCATGGTCAAGTCCTAGCGAATTCGCCACGATGGCCTAACTGACGTAACTTCTCGCTCATTAAATGTTATAAACAAATGAAAGTTTATATCATTAGACTTAGATATCTATGTAAATGTTTGATAAACAAATCACACATATACTTAATGAATTTTGGTTCTTTTTAATTATGCATTTAATTAAGCATAAGTCCTTTCTTCTTTTTATGAGATACTCCACAAGCTCCTCAACTTCAAAAACGTTGCAGAGAGTCAATAGAGGGAATAAAAGATTATATTTGTGCGAAATATAAAATTCCTATATTCGACAATTGATGATACATTGCTTATAACGGTGATGTTTATGCATGCCATATTTTCTCGCAACCATCAACAAATTGTTTTAAATAGCCATGAGAGCCTAAGAAACTTATTGTACATAAGTTGGATACATAATTAGCTAATAATTACAATGCCTGAGACATAATTGCGTTAACAATGACATAGTCCATCGAGACTTAAATTTATCAATGACATAATGTTTGTTGAACGCCGTCGCCTTGCATACAATGAACAACTACATAAAGATATAGACATCACTTGACTCTATAGAGGTTAGTTTTAGCAAGCCATAAATGGATTTGCGAATTGAGTATCATTGCATACCGTAATTTATTGCGTACTTCATTGTAATGATTGTTTCATTTACATAGCTTTTATAACCATCAACTATTTAAAGGTTTATTATTAAAGTCAAAATACTTGCAAATGTATTTGATAAACAACTATAATAAAATTTTATACACCTAGTTTGCTTGGTTAGAAGCCCTGACCTCAATGTCAAGGTTGAAGTGCTATACAAGCAAGATGAATAAGATTGCAGTGGCACAGCACCTGACCAAAACAAGTCACTTACAATGTCATTTACAAATACCATACATAATTTTTACTTTTATTGAATCTTTTGTTATTAAATTAAAACTTTGTGGTAATGATTTGTTGTCATATATTTATTTATATCTAAATTCCGTGCTTTTAAGCCTACAAATTAAAACGCCGTTTTTTTTTTTTTTTCAGATAAGCCGATGAATCGTGGAGGAAGTGGGAGCTCTTTTTTTCGAGGTGGGGGTGTTCAGAGCGCTGTAACTCTTTAGGCGAATCGTGGAAGTGGGAGCTCTTTTTTTCGAGGTGGGGGTAGTTTAAAAAACAGGCCGTCACATAGGAAGACCCCTTAAAGGTTTATTATTAAAGTCAGTGTTATTTAAAAAAAAAATTTGTATTAGAAGTAAAAAGTTGTGCTCGAAACTTTTTATTGGTCAAGAACCTAGGGACTTTATAACCCCATTTTACAAAAAAATAAGATCCTGAGTAAGGATCTGTAGTAAGTAGGAGATTCACAGTACCCATCCATAGAACCCCTTAGACAGACGGCTCTCTACTAGAGATTTTTCCCATGTAAAAAAAAACTCCTAGCTATATCTACTTACCTATATTGTAAACGTATTCTACACAAAGGTATTTATGTCTTTTATGTAGATATATTAACAGTATACTTCCATCATCAAGGGACCCGCCACAGTCGATCCCACAACGGACGAACAGCTACTGACCGCACTAATGTACGTGGCATACTCCAATACGTTTGGCTTTGAACCTTATAATAAAGACTACAAAGTTTATTTCTGGATTCCAGTACGACATCACACGTGTCTTTATTTAGACATACCATATAGGTATGGCCATTTAATCGATTGTCCATCCATGCGACGTGGAAGTGCTTTGATTACAGCTTCCTCCCCTTTATTTATTTTTAAATTGTTTATTGGAGCTTTTTGTGTGGCTCAGACGTGACGGCGACATTCTACGCTTCGTTGATCTGGAGCCCGACAATGATTTATGTTTATACTGTCTAGCCGCCTAACCTAACCTAACCAGCTACTTCTCTTAAACGATTTGGGTTAAAAAAAAAACACTATACGTTGTACTCTAGGTTTCCTTTTACTATTTTTTATGCTTTCGAGATAAAAATTGCGTTGCACAAGTTAAACATCCCTTATGCAATTCTAAATTTTTCTTCTTACAGCAATAATACTTTGACAATACCAGATATTGATTCGATCAATCAATGCATGCCATGTGACGCGAACAATGTCACCGACAAAAGCTAGTACGTAATAAATCTTTAAACTCTACATATGTCTAACCTGTTGTTTTCATAGCGATAATTTATTACGGATCTGAGCTACATAAATTATTCATTGGCGTACTCTTGAGTCGTACATTTATTCATACCGGCTATGACCACCTTAGATCCGTTCTTGTTTTCTTTATCTCGCAGATTTGTAAATAAATATCATTCTGCATAGTTTTCTTATTACCCACCAATATTTAATTTAAGAGTACATGCAAAATGTAAACAGCGCCTAGGTATCGAACGGCCTTTTTCATTCGGATCGAATTATCTTTACATAGTGTAAAGCGTGGTCGCCACCGCTGTCTCTTCGATTATATATTTGGATTATATATTAAAAATTCAAGGGAAAGGTTTATATTAGGTTGAAATTCAAAGATTTGAAATGCACCTGTGCGGAATGTTTTATCACGGCTGAGTTTATTTAATGAAGTGATAAAACAATGTAATTATAAAATGAGACATAAATAAATTTATTATTTATGTGAATTTTACTTGTCAAGTTGGTGACCAAGTTGATGACCCAGTATTTTATTTTATCGTTAAATTAAATAGAAATATTTTAACCATTGTCAGCTAGAAAGTTATTAAAATGTAAATCGAAACTTACCCTTCTGATGCGATCACTTTCTGATTGCTAATGAATTATGTAAACTGCATTGATTGTAATAGATGCCTACCTACTAGAAAACGTTCTGAGGTCTCACATACATAGTAAATACAAAAAAAATCTACCTACCTATAGGTAGGTAGCTACATATAGGTAGGTAGATTTTTTACTCTTTTTATTCCTATAGCGTCTATACTACCTGTGTGATTGATTAAGAAGATTATACCAACTTATATATTACCATAATGCTGCGATTTGATACAGTACTGAGACTTAAGTAGATTTAGCTGCAGTTTTAATGCCTTTAATGTCTATTCATGTACAATTTAATCGAGCCAATGAAATTAATAACTTACTTGGCATTTTTAGGAGTGGTTTCAGGTTGGCAGCATGCGCGGTATCGCAACACTGCCTCTGTGGGTGTGAGGGCATCCGTCTCGTCGGCCGGCGCTTCGCACTCGTCCGTCACGAGTGGCGCCCGCGCCGGCGACGTGTGGGAACCGTACCCGTCGGAGTTCAGCTGGAAAACATCATCGGTTAACAGGCTTATTACATTCATCAAATATTAGAGAGCATCGTGGTGTTGTTATTTAATATCTGGACGACAATGACAAACTTTGTGTATCAATGGTATTTTTGGCTGACTCTCCGGTGAAGTAATTCATATCAATCACAAAATCAATCCGAGAAATGGTGGTAGGCTTCTCAGCTGCCAAGTTTGATTCAAATATACCCAGCAAATTGTGGTGCAAAGCATGTCGTTTGAGGTTCACAGAACAGCTTCGGCAGTTGATAATGGCTCCGATTACTCCTTCTAGGATGTTATCCTACAACAGTCAACTCTGTTGAGTTGACTGTTGTTGAAATAGCATTTACATTAAGTAAAAATTTTTAAAACTTCTTTCATAACATTCTCATGTTCTAATTTTTTTTTAATATTACTTTGTAGTTTAGTGCGTATCATACGTTCTAATTGTAATCCTATATTTTAGATTATATTAAGCCACATGCAAATACCATGTATATATGCAAGTTCATTGATATAAATAGTGTCTACGATCCTAATACTTTTAATAGAGGGGAGGGAATTGTTAGTAATGGGGTCTAGTCACCCCATTGCTAGCAATGTACCATAATAGGTTGACCTCCATACGGAAACCATCGTAGTTAATTCCTGGTTATTAAATCACGATGGGCAAACTGACCTGACCTCATGTTCCACTGGTACTCCGCCAGCGTAAACCGTTAGCGCAGGCGGGTGCACCAATCCATTACCATTCTTATAAAAATATTTTTAATAATTAACAATTTATATATATATCCTACTGGATGTTTTTTTTTTTTGCTTTGCCCGCGTGAATCACTTTAATAATGTATTGCTTTTGCTGTGAACTATACATATTTAAATTGTCGATGTACAACCATCTGAAAATAATATATTTGTGTATTGATATTCCTGAGAAAAAGCATAAAACCCTAGCAGTATGTAGGTGTATTATGCCCGTGGTGTTATTCCTATCAGAGACAGTTTGTTTCCCATCGCCTATGAATACAGTACCTACATCTTATAATAATAATATATGAATACCTACTAGCTCATAACAATACCAACACTGCTCGTGTGTATTTAAGTCAAAATTTTATTTTAGTAATGTAGTATCTTTGTAATGTCTTCCAATATTTATCAAATTCTTTCAAATTCAAATTCTTTATTTATGAAGTACAGGTAACAAAGGTTTTAGAAATTGATAGAAGTTTCATTGTCTTCTGCAATTACGCGTACAATGTTCGTCATTCAGAAATCTCATTAGAATCTGTCCTGCTGTTATGACATATTTGTCTGAGGAACAAACAAACAACTACAAACTTTCACATTTATTATAGTAACAAGATACTAAATTAATTCAGTAGTAACAATTTGTGTAGTAAAATGTCGTGTTTTGACTGCTATGTGGATATTATGATTTATCACAAGCATTCTGTGTACAAACAACTCGGAACAATGTTTAGTTATTTCAATATTTCCAGTTATGCGACGATGGATACAAACAATAGGTCCACTTACCATACAGAAGCAGTCAAACAAGACAGGAAGGACAAACAGAGAAATCAACAAGTTGATAAGTCGTGCAAGGAAACTTTGTGCTCAAGGAGTCGCTTTCTAACAGTTAATGTATAATGAAAACTGTAGTTAACTTCAATGCCGGTACACGCACCCACTTGACACAATTACCTTGTCATATTCACGAATGTTTACTTTGTTCTCAAATTTATTGAATTTAGCTTGTTTAATACCGTGACAAAGTTGTTGCTTTTCAATGTAGAATTGGCATATAAAAATATTATGTAATTGATTAAGTACTTAATAGGTATAACGTTTAAGTTGAAGTAACGTGTAGATTATGTCTAGAGTTTAGTCTGTTCATTACATTCTAATGAAATTATAATTCCATATATGTATATACAATAGACTAGGGTCTATGTTCAAACTAAGCAAAGTTTGTATTAAGCAATTTATACTTAAGTACCTAAATTTTTTCCTAATATATATGTAAAGTAAAAAATTCAATTTTATAGGAATAAAAATCTTTGCATAGTAAGGAGATTGATTACAGATGTAACTATTTTAGATGCATTTTTTGGTTTAGATTTTTTGTGACTTTTGTTGTTATTGTATTGGATGAAAGTAGAAAAGTGGAAAAGCGGGATGTCTCTAACTCCCATCATTGTATTATTGCAATCTAATTGAAAGAAATAAACTTATGAATTTCGTTATATTCATAGATAAGTTATAAATTATTTGCTGTCATCCAACATAGAATTAATGAACAGTTACTCAGTTGAGAACGGCATAAAATGTTTACTTTAAATTTCTCGTAATTCCAATTGTACATCAATTAATCACGGCTTCAGAAGTTAAGTTCAGGAGATGAGAAGATGATGGTGAGGCTCACTTTGACGATGGTGCCGACCTGGGTGTCCTGTGCGAGCGTGTCAAACACGCGCTCCCTGGGTTGCTCACGGGCGTCTATAGCAGCGCCGGCGCCCTCTACTGGCGCCCCTAGCAGCCGCTCCTTCATCTCGTGGATGTAGGGGCAACGCTGCATCGCGATGTAGAACTCGCGGACGCGCACCTGGTGGAAAATAGATAGATAGTTAGATAGAATATGCTTTATTTGCATTATACAATTATAGTAAAATTGTGTATTTCATTACAAAATAATAATAAAATAAATCTTTACTAATGATTACATAAAGCTCAGGGTATATTTCTTTGAAGTAGTTACGACTTATAATTTGTATTTTTTAAATACATAGTTTATAAGATGTTTACTAACATAAAATGGATACATATCCGAAATAAATAAATAAATTGGTCTTGAATAATGGATAGGTAAAGGGAGTCATGATTACAAGATAAAAATAATTAAATTAAATCTATACCTTTCAATATTAGAAAGCTGAAGAATTTGTATGTTTTGTTGTAAAAGCTAATCTCAGGATGTATGAATTAAAATTAGAAAATTATTTTACTATTGTTCAACTAATGTATCAAGTCAGCTATACGAGTACATACGCCCAATATGCGATGCAAACGATATTGCGCGTGTCAGCAACCTTAAACAACATCTATAGAATTTTTAATTTATATTTCATTTCATATTTTTGGTGCTACAGTTTCACCGTTATTTATGCATGCAACGGTACTACTTTAAATAAAAGAATATCATACAGACCGATATAGAATTATAAAATATCAATAATGTATTAACTTTCCTAAACACACAAAGGAGTACGTAAAATTCAGATGATTTGTAGTAATAATAATAATAATAATAATCATCTTTATTTGTCTCAAACAGAAACTTTTTACACAATACAACTATTGGACTGTTTATTCATAAATCTTGCATTTTGATAGTAGATTTGTCGAGAAATTAGTCTAAGATGCTGCACTTTGTTTAATTAGTTTACGAACTAATTTAATTAACCTCAATTCAGTCTTAATACAAATCGATCGTATATGGTGACCACAACGACATCAAGTTGACCTAATTTTCCATTAACTTGAGACAGTTTTTTGTTTTCAACTGACCTAATAATGTTAGAAATAGAAATAGAAATAGAAATAATCTTTATTCAAATAAACTCATTACAAGCACTTTTGAATAGTCATATTTTGATTCTACTCATTCGGAATGCAGATTCATCACAAGAAGAATGAGCAAGAAACTTGTGTGTTGCTCTTTTTAATAGATGTTTTTTTTTATATAAATAATTACAGTATAACAAGTAAGAGGCATGCGATAATAGTCGCTACGACTCTTTATTAATGTAATCAGATAATATTGTCAGTGCTATAGATTTAAAGTTTTTCTATAAAAACATTATTATCGTTAACGAATTCTTCAATTTTATAGTAAGCTTTTTTGCAAACGAACTGTTTTATTTGACATTTAAATCTTTTTTCTGGCAGATTTATAACAGACTCTGGTATTTTATTGTAAAACCTTACGCAATTGCCATAAAACGAATTACTAACTTTAGCCAAACGACATTTAGGTAAAATCAGTTGTTGTTGTTGCGTAAGCTTTTGTCTATATTCTTCCTGGCATAGATGATATTTTCATAAATGTATTGAGAAGCAACGGTGAGGATATTTGATTTCTTAAAGCACTCTCGCAATGACTCCCTGGAACCCATACCATAAATGGAGCGAATGGCCCTCTTTTGTAAAGTTACGTGATTTAGTATTATATTTTTTACGAATTGTGTTTATTTAAATTTTTAATTAATATGATTTTTTCAATCCATCGGATTCGCTTGACTGTATACGTCTTTTATATATATAATTTGAGATTTTTTATAGCATAGGCATATTAAGTTAGTTGTCTACCTGATTACCCCAGGTGTAATCAGTTGCCATCGGGTTGTTGCGGTTTCGGAGCAACCGTAAGGAAATACAGGTGAGTTGCAAACCTTTAAAGGAGGAATAATCTTTTCTGGATGATTCCAATATCACCTAAGTTTTTTATTATAATAATCATTTTTAACAAAAGAATTATTCATGCTCTAGGCATATATACCTGCCTACTTAAATATGTCAATTCTAAATCCAAATCCAGAAAATGTACCTAACAAAAGTTTCAAAAAGGTCTAATGAAGATATATGGAAAAGGGACCGAGAAAAAGTAAACTTTGGAGTTGTTACAATTCTTGAAAATTCAGTGATACCAGTACTTTTCATTATCAGTTAAGTAAAACTCTTATAATATGAATTGAATTTATTTAAATAAAAAAGATGGAATTATACCAATATTATGCATTAATACGGTATACAGTTTGTGGCTGCATAAAACTACCTAATTAATCAGCATTGGGGGACCATTTTGCGTGTGGAATAGTTCTCATTGACCCAAATAGGATGGCATTTTGTATAATTTAAATTATACGTAGCTAAAATAGTTATGTAGCGGGTATACTTTTGTGTTTAAACAATGTTACTGCAATAACCTCATTGTTTCACAACGTAATTTAATTTATTGTTTGATAATAGTAGTAGATTCTATTATGGTTCTGTCTCATTAAAAAAGAAATTGTGATTATTTAAGTGTAACGAGTTAAAATAAAAAAGGTGTATAAAGAGGCTTAGGTTGTACCGGAAATTACCTGTATAATGTATTTGCAGCACTACCACTACATTTTTACAAACATCGTCAAGAATTTTTTAAATCTTAGACTTTAAATTACCTAATGTTTGTTTATTCATATCCATACATCTATTGCAGGTACCTACTATAAACTAAATTATTGTGTAAAGTAGATTGCTATGTCACAAAAGTTTGATTGATAATTCGTATAAACTTACCTACCTTATCACAAGAGAAATAAGTTACCCTCAAGGGAGGAATTATAAAATGATATCGAACTCTTGCATAAACACCAGTGTCAGTAGCGTTTACTATCAAACAATTTTTTTATTACTAATGCATTGTATATCGATCATCACAACAAATCAAGAATAAAAACTATTAATAGCTATATATCTATCCTCTTTCACTTAATTCGAAACTGACTCTGTAAAGTGGTATTCAATGTAAAATATAACAAAAGTGCATCTAGCGAATACACGTTGCAAATGCAGCAAAATATACTGAAAAAGATTATTTGGTAGATTTGTGTAGTTCGTGAAGGTACTAATTTGGAAGAGCGTTACCAAACACGCACTATGAGAACCGGTTTGCAGACCTTTCGCTTTTTAGTTCGTTTGATAAAAAACATCAGCCTTGCTAAAAAAATAAGAACTTATTTTTGTGGCAAAATATTGACTAGCCTAAAATAACGAACGAACTAAAAGAACAAATTCAAGAGAGCTACGAACTAAATTGAGCGAAATCAGTCGCAAACTATTTCATAGTGTCAACATAATTAACGGTAAATGATAACAGCTTGATCAGTTCACGTACATATCACTTAAATTTATATCTATGATCTAAGGAAGAAATGTTGTCGTCTGTCCACCCATTCTTCATTACTTTCCGAGAGACCGTAATTCGCAGAAAGCAGGCTGTATATATACGCATCAAAGTTTTTTGCTGGTGAAAACGTTTCTAATACGAGTAGGGGGAAATACTGGAACACGTCCGTCTCGTCAGTTGTAACGTAGATATCTTGAGTATTCATTGACCATAATTGGATAAAACACTCACCAGTGACATTATGAGTAAGAAAGTTAAGGGTAAACGACAGAACTTTACAACGGACGGCAATGGTAACACGAAATACATTAGTTAGTGAAAGGCTTTTTATAGCTACTGTGTGGCGGTAAGCCATTCCACAACCCAATGAACCGGGTGAAACGCTCCTTTAAAACCTCGCTAAAATTAGAAAATATTTATTTACTTACATTATGGTCCTAAACAGAACTTCATATAATGGTTTAGTTCTTACGGTAGACAGATTATAGAAATTTATATTTTCATTAATATTGTAATTACAGCGTGAGATGTAACGAAAAGAATACAATAATCATAAAACTCAGTACCACTAATGACTAATAACTCAGGGTAGTAATGTGGACTGATGACCACAGTGCTTGCAATGTACCATGTCAAGTTGACCTCCACGCGGTACTTCTCGGAAACCATCGTGGTAAATTCAACAGGAATTTATCACAATGGTAGGATCAGGTCAACTGACCTGACCTCATGCTCATCCTATCATCCTCTACTGATGCCCCGCCAACGTACACCATTAGCGTAGACTAGTGAACCATAGCATTATCATTCTTTAAAAAAACATCTGCGATGATATAACAACTTTTGACAATAAATCAACAAATCATCCATCGTACAGTTAGTTTATATAAAATTAAGCTATGTGAAATTTTTTTAAAGTACCTTGGTTCGTATAAAAACAGTATCTACTTTATACCCGAACCATGCCTAACGTATTCGCATTACGCTTACCACTTCAAGGGACAATGAACACAATCGATTCAACAGAATGAGGGCATCAGGTCAACGAATCAACTAGTAACATGAAATCTAATACTTGACTGTTTGTACTGGACATTTTATGATTTAAATCTAACTGGCACTCATCGAATTTGTGAAACTTGATCTTGAGAAGCCATGACAAGCAGATAAAATCGATTCAGAATGAACTGTTATCGTCAATCAGTCGGTCAATCAGAGAAAACTGTATTTAAATCAGCGTATGACATAAATATTAAGATAATTTAATGATTTATAAAGTGTACAATTCTATAGGTACAAAGTAAATTAACATCTACGTCAACCTGCAAAGATGGTAAGTACCTTATACTCAATAAACGAAATTTGTTTATAATAATTTAAAATTAATAATTTCGTTTACATATAATGTTAACATTTCGCATTCTATATATATAGATATCGAATAACATTATATAATTGGGTCTAACCTATATATTTTTTGCTCTCATCGAGTATGCATATTATGCATAATTACCTACTAGAAGGAACTTCGAACGAAGTCGTCTACCACAGAGGTAGACGACTGCCAATCTTGTTCTTCACTAAGTTCCAATCTTGAATATTATTTATAAAAAAATATAGATATATGGTATTAAACTACTGGTATATGTAGTAAC